AGAATGATGTACAAATGCGCTTTACACAATTGATGTGTGTATGGATTGGGATAACAGTTGTATGAGCCCCTAATAAAATGTTTAAAAAAAAAGAACTGGCTAACCACGTTATCGATATTGTTGATGATAATTTAGTAACCCTTTTAGGGTTCAGGAAACCCCAACAACAGACCACATTTATATATATATATATATATATTAGAGAAAGCCAGCCAGGTCCTAGTGTAAAAAACGTAAAGAAAGGGAAAAAATGGAAAGCAGCTACCAGTTGATTTGATGGAAGGGGATTCCCCTTCCAAACAATGACTGTCTCTCCATCCCTCCTCTCCACATCCGTGTCCACAGGTCCTCATCAATCTCAAGGTATTGGCCATATTGTAGTTGATAAAATATTTTTTAATGTTGTGTTTCTTATTTAAATTATATTATTTAACTCTGAACTTATTTAATTTGAAATTTCGGTGTAATGTTTTGTATAAAAGGGTAAGGTTAGGGTAAAACTTGGTGGTCAAGAATAGATTAATCTATTTTCAGGTATTATGGGAAAAATTGATTCGTAACTCGACTGCATCATATCTTTGTGCCCATCTAGAACGGATTAGTGTTGAGGTCCAGGGTTCTACTGTAAACATTTTTCTGATATTCTCTGCTTTTAGCAAAGATCTATGTAAGATCAGTAATGATATCCTTCATTCCGTATACTCTTCTAATCTAATTTGAATTCTGAAAGTTCTATGTTGATATGCTCCTGCAACTTTTGAATTATTTTCAACAAAAGTGTACTTGCTGATACTTGTGATATTAATGCTATTGTTCTACATTATGTTGGGTCACCTTTCTTTGGCATGGGCACAGCTGTCTTATGGATTTCTTCTAGTGCTTCATACATTTGTTGAAAATCTCAATTGGTATTTTTCATTTCCTGGATCTTTGTTTCTTCCAGTGCCTTCTGTGCAATTTGGACTTCTTCCTTGTTGTTCTGTGTTTTTGATAAAATACTAAAATGAAAAATGGTACTTGAAATATTAGTGGCATAACTTCTAGTATCAAAACAATGCACACACTACCACATACCAGCAAACTGACAGAAGTGATAGATTCACCATCTAACATACTATACATATTTTATTAATTTATTTTGCTCATGCCTATACCTACTGGAATATAAGTTCTATATGAGTAGAGATTTTAATCTGGCTTTGTGTAATGCTGTATGCCAAGGTCTAAAACAGGGTACTCAGTAATTATCTGTTCAATAAATTAGTAGAGTAAGCATTCTTTATATATAAAAATATATCAATATCTTTAGACAAACTTTTCCTTCATGCACAAAGGACATAAAATGATCATTCAAATCATAAGAAATGTAGATTTATAACAAGATTTATTTAAATTGTTAAAGGGCAAAGATGTCACTTTAAGGACTAGGTTGTAACTCACCAAAGCCATGGTATTTTCTATCACCTCATATGAATTTTAAAGATGTACAACGAATAAGGAAGACCTGAGAAGAATTGATGCAGTTGAATTACAGTATTGGAGAAGAATACTAGGAGTATCATGGACTTCCAGGAGAAAAACAAACGAAGCTGTCTTGGAAGAAGTACAGCCAGAATGGTCCTTTAGAAGCAAGAACAGCAAGACTGCATACATACTTCAATCATGCTATCGTGAGTGACCAATCCCTGGAAAAGGACATCCTGACTGGAAAAGTAGATCAATCAATAAAAGGAAGATCCTCTAGGAGATGGATTGAAGTAGTAACTGCAACAATGGGCTCAAACATAGCAACAGTTGTGACGTTGACTTGGAACTGGGCAGCGTTTCCTTGTGTTGTACTCAGACCCAGGCGATGGCACCTAACAACAACAAGATCAGTACGAGAGAAGGGAAAACAAACACGCAAAAAGCACAGCCTTCACAAGTACCGTATATATTTGTGTATAAGCCGAGTTTTTCTTCCCAGTTTTTTATGCAGTTTTTGTGGTAAAATTAGGTGCATTGGCTGGTATTTGGGTCGGCATATGCTCGAGTATACAATGATGGGGGCAATGAACGTATAGATGTGCTTTGCACAATTGATCTATGTATTGTGATGAATTGTATGAGCCCCAATAAATTGATTTAAAAAAAAAATTTCTCCCCCTAAAAAACAAACAAACAAAAAAAACTTCAAAATTACATGAGGACTATTTTTCTCTGTGCGTTTGTTCTAGCCTGAGTTCTCTAGAAAAACAAAACCATCTATGCTTGTGTATATGTGTGTGTGTGTACATATACATGTATATGTATAAAGAAAATTGTATGTCCAAGTCCAGGCATGTTCCAAGTCCATGGACTAGATGTTAGGCTTTAGGCTTCTGTTAATTCATGCAGCTGTAGGGTCTAATGATTTGCTGGGAAGTCTACAGGCTGGTGGCTGCAAGGTGAACAGGTTGAGTTTGTGGCTACAGATGCCATGGACCCAACATTGGCAAGTGAGATGACAGGCTGCTGACGACTCCTAAGACCTTCAGACAATATGGCAGGCTTTTGACTCAAGTCCAAAAATCTGGAGATTGATGAGCCAGGGGAATAACCCAGATCCAGCAAAACTAAACTAATTTCCCACAGCATTCTCTTATATTGGAAGCAAGCCACACCCCTGAGGCAATTAATTGCATCAATTAAAGATTGTTGAGTTCCACCCTAATCTTATCCCATTATGGAGCCTTAAAATTGATTTGGCTGTGATCACATTGTGTTAGGTCTGGTCATTGGGGGATTGCAAAAACCAATACCAAACTCTGCCATTGAGTCATGGTGACTGTATGGAACAGGGTAAAAATTCCCGCTGTGAGTTTCTGAGACTGTAGCTCTTTATAGAAGTAGAAAGCCCTGTATTTATCCTATGGATTGCCTGGTAGTTTTAAACTGCTGACTTTGCTTGAAATTAGCAGCCCAACTCATAACCCACTAGACCACCAGGGCTCTAGGTATGAATTCCTAAACCACTGGGAGTCCTGACCCAGCCAAATTGACACAAAATCATAACTATTATGTTTATACTTTTAAGTTCATAGAAATTAATAAAATTATTATTCCTATTTTAGAGATAGAGAAATAAAATGCTAGTAGTGACTGTGCAAGTTTTTGTACACATTAGTCAAAATATATCAGAAATGGTAATATATATGTCATTTTCTATTGTGAACCTTGTTATTAAAACTTATCCTAAGAAAATAGTTAATGTATATAAAGATGTGACACAAATCATGCTTATTATAGTAAAAAATTAAAATAACTAACGACCAAATTCACCAAATATAGAAGCTTAGTTAGTAAATGAAATGTCTTGCTTTCATATATTTGATTATTATGCAATCGATAAATTAGTATTAAGAAAAATGTTTATTGACATAAGTGTTAGTAATATATTTATAAATGGAAAGAGCAATCCATAGACAAGAAAATGTTGAATTACGTAATGTTTGAAAGAAAAGTTAGTATGTTCACATAAATTGGCTAAAGCGGATGTAGAGTTGTTAATGTAATTTCTAGTTTTTTTCTTACGCTTATAACTTTTATAATTTTCTTTGCAACTAATAATCACATCATATTTTTGTATTAGAAAAATCAGAATCATATGTGTACTGTACTTCAAAACATTGCTAGTGTTACACATATAAATGGGTTAAGTGTGAATGGTAATCAAATGTTCCTCTTCATAACATCTATGTGCTTGTAATAATACTGTTTCTGTATATTTTGAATGTCTTGCATTAATTAAGTAGACATCAATGCTCAAAATTACTTATAGAATACTTTCCTGTGGGTCATTTCATTCTTTATAATCTGAGATAGTTTATTGTGCCAGCCTGGCCTATAAACACAAATGGGATTAACTGATGGGCAGAGAGATAAATGGCTTGGTGAGCCTCGCCTTTCTTGTCATTTGCTCTTTGATCATCGGACCAGTGTGCGGCTGCCTTGCTTGTTCTGTGCCTCAATTTAAAGGCTACACTACCTGTGGGATGCCTAGCCTGTGGACTGTGTCGCTGTAAGTTGAGGTCCCTTTAAGACATCTCTGGAGCTGGGGACTGGCGGTTGGTGACCTGGCTGGCAGTTGGTGACCTGCCTTGTGATTGGCTGCTGTGCTGACATAGCCTAGCTCTCTCTATAAATAGAGGAAGATCTGGCAGCAGACTAGACTTGAAGGACTGCTAGTCTCTCAACTCTCTCTCACGGGAGTGAGTTGCATTGAGCCATTTGTAGTGCTTTATAATTTAACTGTTTATTTCTTGTATTATATATTTATCTGTATATGATTTAACAGTTCATTTCTTGTTATATATCTAATTATCTTTATAAATAAATATATTAAATTATCAGTAATTTGGTTTTATCTCTCTAGAGAACCCTGTCTAACACATTTTACCCCATTCCTGGTACCAAAATGTGTTAGACAGGGTTCACTAGAGAGATAAAAACAAATTGCTGATAATTTAATATATTTATCTGTATATGATTTAACAGTTCATTTCTTGTTACATATCTAATTATATCTAATATATAGAATACTTTCCTGTGGGTCATTTCATTCTTTATAATCTTAACATGTGGAAGCTATTTGACTACAGGGATGCATTTCACATGACTTTGCTGACAAGATAACTAAATTTATATCATGCAGTTAATCTATTTTGACCTTTTTGGAGATCTTAATTCAAGTACAACCCCTTATTTACCCCCCTCTTCTCTCTCTTTCTAGACAGTACTTCTATGGCAGTAATATACAATCTGGTTTGTTTGAACAAAAGAAGGGGAAATTCCCAATATGGCCAGAGTGGAGTGAAGCTGACATAAATGCAGAGAAATGGGATGCGGGGAAAGCTGCGAAAGAAAAGGACAAAACGGGCAAAAGCCCTGTATTTGTAAGTAGTCTTGACTGTGACTTGATTTTGTTTGGCTTTAAATTTTATAATGAGATATGGCTTATAAACATGGAGTGTACACATACTTCTCCATAATCTACAGTCTACAAGGAAGTTTTATCTTGGTATACCTGGTCAGTCTCAACCACTCTGTCCTCTTGGCCAAACCTTAGTCCTGAGTTTTTATGAATGTCATTTGGAGATGGTAGAGAGATATATGATCAAAAGTTATAATAAAATAAAGGAATTAAGTGGTAGAAGTCAGTCAATGAATTTGGGGCAGAGTTGGGAATTAGGGCATTTAGAAAAGATGTTTTAGAGAATGATGAACTGAATGTGAACTTTTCCTGGCATTTACAGGAGAAATCATTTTATTCAGAGATGTAACTGTGAGATAAAAATTGAATCACTCTCAATATTCCTCAAGATCCAGGATAAAGATCTAAGTTACTCTTTGTTCACCTTTGACCACTTTAAACATGATATTTCCCTATGAAAGATTCCTACATTTTCAGGTGATATTATTTATGTATTTGCCTACTTAAAAATATATATTACATAAAATGTATTGATTGAGGTTATGAGCCAAACTGAGAGATATTTCTTGATGTTCCACAAACTGGATATATGAAATGATCCTCAAGGAAAATGACATGGTAAGACCCCATTCTTTGGTTCACATGAGGCGCTAAAAACCTGAAGGAAGTGCAACACTGGACCGAGCCCTGCCTTCGTGCTTTTGTCTTGAGCACATGTATGGGTTCAAGGCCTTGGGATGAGAGGCGAGCAGAGAGTTGTGGTCTAGGGCCCCCGGCAGTCTCTGTGGGTGAGAGACTGAGCATACTATCCAGGCTTTCCAAAGCAGCCAGACGGGAACCCAGGGAAGAGGAGATTGCAGGGAAGTGAACCAGCATGGTCGCATGTGGTTTTATTTTGAGATATCTCCCCATTCCTAAGCGATGTGTACTTGGAAACTGAGTGAAAACCAGCAGTGCTGGGGAGAGAGATTGGGTTTCAGGAAAGAACAAGATCAAGAGACATGATCACGTTATTTGTGTAGAGTGAGACCACTTGCTGCTCCTGGGGAGAAAGATGAGGCTCTGCTTCAGTTAAGATCGACAAAAGCCTCCGAAACACCCTAGAGAGGGTCTTCAGGAGTGGAAATCACACCTGAGGGCAGTGGGTGCTGATGAAGGTGGATGGAGTGAGAGGAAACCCAAGTGAAACCCCTGGTGTTCTGACGTGTTTCCACAAGCTGATGAAAGCACTGGAAGCGCTCCAACTGGAAGAACGTTGGAAGCCGGCTAGTTGAACAACTGACAGGAAGAGATCCATAGTCGTACCCATTCCAAAGAAAGGTAACCCATCAGAATGCTCACATGATGGCACAATATCATTGGTATGACTTTCAAGTAAAATTTAGCTGAAGATCACCCAACGATGGTTGCCGAAGTACATTGGCCTGGAGCTGCCGGCCGGCTTCAGAGTAAGACATGGAACTAGGGCTATCATTGCTGATGACCTGAGGTGGATCATGGGTAAAAGCAGAGAGTACCAGAATGATGTTTACTTGTGTTTCATGGACTATGCAAATGAATTCGACTCTGTGGTTCACAACAAACTATGAGAAGAATGGGAATTCCAGAACACTACATTGTGCTCAGGTGAAACCTGAACATAAATACATTATCATGGATACATTCATGTCCGGTCCATCCCAAATTATGTCCATTTTAGGCTTAATTTACATTCCTAAATCACTCATGCTTGTTTAAGCTGCATTTTCTGTAATATAAATGCTACTCAAGAATTAAGATTTTATTGATTAAGTGACATAATCTTGAATATGGTATTCACTAAGCACTGCATGAACTAGCTTTGAGGATAAAGAGAAATTGCTTTATAAGTGCTGATTAGTGAATTATTTCTATGCATTTAATTTTTACCTAAGATTGAGTTGCTTTTATTTTAATAAAAGTAAATGATAAAGAATTCAATTTCTTTATACAGCATTTTTTTGAAGATCCTGAAGGAAAGATTGAATTACCACCATCGTTGAAAATTTATACCTGGAAACGTCCACAGGACATTATATTTCATAGGGTAAGAAATATTTTTAATATTATGCAAAATAAATTTGACAATGGATTTACAAGGTCCTAGTTATAAAAGCTACATTTAAAAAATTAGGTTATTTTTTTCTTTGGATATTCAGTAGGAATAAGTAGTTTCTTTATGACATTTAAATCAGAAATAAATACTTATCAGTGTAGTTTAATATTTCTTGTAATGGTTACTAAGACATTATTGAAATGTTTTCTCTGCTTTTAGGATCTTGAGTTTTCTATTTCTCCCCTTCGTAATGTCAAATCAGAGACTAAAATACTGCAGGAAGTTAGTCCTTTATGGTTGACTGATAGGCCTTATCCTTTATGCTGCTTAGCAGTTTTATACAGTCTGTTTTCTCTAGTATTCATTAGCATTAATTTTTTAGCCAAAGACATTTGCACTTAAAATTATCTATACCAAGGACACTTGAAGAACATTGTAAGGGCCACTTTTATCTGTATTCTATGACAAACCACCTGACTCGTTTTGACCAGGCAATCAAAGAAACATCCTTTTAAGTAGCACCTCTATAGCTTGAATCTTCATACCCACTGGTCTATCTTCTAATTTCTATGCTAGTTTGAATATACTTGGTGTTTCAAATGGTTTAATTATCACTAATGCCTGTTTCATTATTGAATCCCTCATTATTTTCTTTCAATGCACACAAAATCAGTAGGCTAAATTAGCTCTTTAGCTCTCATCAAATGATTGTAATAGAGCTGACTCTTTTGGTACATTATGGAGTCTCCATTGAATCTCAACTTCTACCCAAAGTGATTTTATTCTTAGAAGTTTTAGCTTCCCTAAGCACTCTATTAATGCAAGAAAATGCAATTTATATGCCATATTTTCAACTACTATTACTAATTGAGAAAGTTGGATACATCTAAATTTAAAAAGATTAACTAAAATGAGAAAATTAAAAAGGTGCATTCTGGCTCCTCAGTGTATTTATTTAATGCTGCCTTTTAAGACAATTTAAATTTAAAAAATCAAACATGAATGAACTATGACTTTCTATTACATGCAATTTTAGATAATATTGATATGAAGAATATGAATTCATTGATGCTAATATAATGGGCTTAGTGTTACATTATTAATATTCAGCTCAGTTCTATATAGAGATTCTGTGTTCATAAGTGTAAAGGATATGAATTGTATAAGTTGAAAGAATAGTATATTTCAATAGAGAACTTTTCTGATCCATCTTAAGTAAACCTTTCCTCTGAGAGATACACTTGTACTAAAATATAAAACCATTCATTGCTGTTGAACACACTTCCATTTATATTTAGATTGTTGTTACCATTTCAAGACCTCTGTTCTTCCTTTGTACTGTACTCCTGCCCTTGGTCCCATCAAAATGTATGGATCAGAACAGAGATGGGAGGAAGTTAAAAGAACTGAAAGTCTAGCTAAGTAGAGCAGTCTTAGATACATTCAACATGGATGTACATGCATACCTGGATATCATGTATGTGTATGCATATATGTCATACGTAAGTATACATATCCTGATCCTCTAAACTAACTTAATGAACCATTAAATAATTGTGACTGAAAATTTTAGAACCCTTGACCAGCCTAAGAAAATAACCCAGAACTCTCTAAGCAAAATATGAAGTCAATGGAGTTGATTTACATTAAGAGAAGGTTAGCTGATGAAAGCCATACACTGCATTTAAGAGAACAGAGTCAACAAGATTAACAAGATCTGATCCCAGAGTGAATGATCAGATCTGTTTATTTCTGAGAACTCGATATGGGTGGCATAGACCTTGAGCATTGATTATGCAAAGGGGATTTCTAAAAATTCATGGAAAAAATCCCATCATTTAATTAAATTTTTCCATGAACTTTTGGGAACCTCCATGTCTCAGACACAAGGAAGACATCCAAAGATTAATCTTGTTAAAAGTAAAGGTACAGAGAAGCCCTGGTGGTGTCTGGTTAAACATTGGGCTGCTAACCACAAGATCAGCAGTTTGAAACCACTCCCCTGCACGGAGGGTGAAAGATGAGGCTTTCTACTGCTGTACAAAGTCACTTTAGACATGTTATAAGGAGAGACCAGTCGCTGGAAAAGTACATCACGCTGGGTAAAGTAGAGGCGCAGTGAAACAGAGGAAGGCCCTTGACAAGATGCATTGACACAGTGGCTGTAACAATGGGCTCAAACATAGCAATCGTGAGGATGGTGCAGGACCTGACAGTGCTTTGTACTACTGTAGAAGGGGTTACTATGAGTTGGAACTGACTTGAGAGCATCCAACAAAAGCAACAAAGAGCTATAGTCTCAGAAGCCCATAGGGGCAGTTCTCCCATCCTCTATGGATGCTATGGATCAGAATCAACTAAATCAATGGCAGTGAGTTTGAGGTGTTTGTTTGTTTGTTTGTTTTTCTGAGATCCAGCTATAATAACCCCTGCTAGGTTGGCCATTGAAACACACCAGCCTTCTCTATGAGAGAAAGATCGGACTGTTTGCTCCTGGAAAGACGTATATCTTAGTCTTTAGAGACTATGGGTTCATCCCTTTCTGCCACATGAATGGACATGAGCCAAAAACTGACTTGACGGCACAAAACAGCGGTACAAGTTTTAAAGAAAAGGGACATAAAGTTACAAGCACGTATTGCAGGGGGCTGCCCTAGTCTTAAGTCAGAAAAGGCCTCTCTGAGAAAGTCAGGCTTCAGTGAAATCTGAAAAATGAGTAATAATAAGGGGATGAAGGGAAAAGCTTGTGAGACCTTATGAGGCTCTGGAACGGGGCAGCAGGAAAGTTGTCAAGGTTGCTGAAAACCAGAGGCATCAAAGCTTAACGGTTTCCTGAAGTTTGCTTGTTTTGGCCTCCTGAATAAAAATGAATAGTCCTTGGAGAATTTTAAAAGGGGAGGGAGCCACTGGGAGGTTTGTGCCAGAACTAGATCTACTTATTGAGAATTTCATTATGGTTGGCCTGTAGATTGGGTGGGAGGTACCATTAAGGAGGTACTGTGCACTAGCACAATCAAGAGATGATATAGGCGCACCCTCACGAAGGGAACAGGGAAATTATGGGTGCTACAATAAAGTGTGGTGAAGAAAGTATATGGTACTCGGCTATCATAAAGAATAGAGTCTGGGGTCTTAAAGGCTTGTTTTCAAACAAGTAGCCATCTAAGTGAGACGTCAAGCAAACCCACATGGAAGAAACAGATAAACATCTGTGATTCAGAGTTTATAAATGATATAATCCAAATCTGAAGGAGGGAATGGTACCAGAGCTTAAATTGTGAAATTTGGGTTTTCAGAATCCAATGGATGACAGTGGAAGCACAAAATACATTCTCAGGGTCTGCAGATGGAATAAGTCTCTGGTGATTCCCTTCTTACTTTAATTGAAGGATGGGAATAACCTGGTAATGAAATAGAATTAGTGAGACGACTATAGTAGAGTAAAATAATAAATCTGACTTGAATGATTAAAAGAAAAAAGACTTCTATCTTTGAAATTCTAGGAAGCAGTCCATGGTACTTTCGAATGATTTTCACCAGCATCATAATTCAAATCCACTGGCTCTTCCTCAGGAGGCCTGTCATAAGTTTTACACAGATATGACACAGTGATTAAGTGCTCAGCTGCTGACCAAAAGTTTGGAGGTTTGTTTCTGGATAGACTACAGCCAAGAAAATCCTATGGAGCGATTCTATTGTGCCACATGGTTCACTACGCGTCCAATTGAATCAACATCATCCAACAATAACCACTGCACAGACAATAGCGAATCATTGATGGCATTGGTTTTCTTAGAAACCCAATTCACTAATCAAAACCATTTTATGTTCATTTCATATGTCGGACATACAATCTTGATAAGAATAACTTTTTTATTGATACAAGTCATATCTTCAGTATTATCTGTGTCTTTATAGGTATTAAATATTTAAAAGCAATTTTAGCTATGCACCAATTAAATTATGACCATCATATTAATTTTAATATGCAAAAGGATTTAAAGTTGGACAAGATTTTTAAGAAGCTGTCACAGCTAATATTCTTCATCTACAATAGAGATATTTTTCTAGCTACCAGATGTTAACTAAAGAGCAGGTTTAATTTGAGTGGCTAATTTGAATTTCAAATCAGTTTTTAAATGCTCAGATTGTACATGGTGGCTTCAAAAGTTTTGTGAAAAATGGAATCTAAAGATATTGAAATTTTTCAACAAACTTTTTGCGAGATTCTAGTGTGTTTGTGTAGTATGTAAAATTTCATCTTACATACCTTTGCACATGTTGTCAGAAGAGATCAGTCCCTGGAGAAGGACATCATGTTTCATAAAGTAGAGGGGCAGCAAGGAAGAGGACGGTCCTCAAGGAGATGGGATATATATGTTACTCTACATATATTATATCTCATAACATTTAGTTGCTTGTTGAGTTCTATATTTTATAGACAGCCTTTTATTAAATTGATTTCACCCCTAGCTCTAACTAATAATTATTTGGTGGAATAATATGTTTATTTTTAATTTTTTTCTAATTCCCCTGGCTATGAGTAATATCAAGTTTAGTCTGTTTACAGCACATGAGAATATTACATTAAACTAGTTATGGTCTCACTTAATGGAGTAATAACTACAATTTTTTAATTTTTCCTTTTAGACTCCAGTGGTTGTGAAAAATGAAACCATGTTTGACTTGTTTTCAGCAAATGAGCATTTACTCGGCAGCGAGGTATGCGGGAAATTGATAAACCAGCCCTTGGGACAGAATGGCATCTGGACTCGCTCAAGTAATCCTATACTGTGCAAAATCGGCCTGAAGAGGCTGGCCGTCTCTCCCCACCTGTGGCTTCCCCATTGCCTGGAGCCCGGGATCAGACATGACTTCACCCTTCATCCTCCTTCACCTGTTCAGACACCAGTTCATTCCTCCCAGGGCACACTGATTCTGTCCTGGGTTCCATAATCCGTTGCCTTGGCTACACAGAACTCCCAGCCATTGCTCCCAATTAAGGCGGTTCATTAGGACAGTTAACAGGTCACCACAAGTCAGGATCCGTAAACAGAATACACCCATTGGTCCACAGCAACACCCCTCCTCAGTCAGCAGCCAAGTCTCTTTGCGACCCTTGGCCGCTCAGCCAGGTTCTCCCTTGACCCCTTCCTTCCTCGTCAGACCAGGAAGGCTTCCCGTTGCTCTTTCTCTCCGTCCCTTAGTCTCAGCACTGGCCATCGGTCCTGTCTCCTGGGTTCCTTGCCTTGGCCTGGATCCTTTGTTGTTTTTTCCCCTCATAGTTTCTGGGCCACAGTCTCTAGTGCCTCTGGTCCCACTCTCTGTCACTACACACAGACATCTGGAACATGCTGTTTGGATGGTCCTGGGGATTCTGTGTCCAACATGGCTTTTATGCACAGAGGAATGCTTTGATGGAGATGCAGACAAACCCAAAGAAACAAAAGGATTAGACACTTAATCCCAACCTAAGTTCCGCCCACTGGCATGATAGAGAACTCCCTCCAAATTGAGATTATAGCCGTAGACTTGAAGTCCAGAATTATAAGACACCGCTTGTAAGGTGACCAGATTTTAACATTGGTAAAGCGGGACAAAAGCGAGGCACCATTGATAAAACTCATATCCTGGCGAAATAGCCACATGGCAGCCAAAAACCGTATACCCTAGCTTGTCGTGCATTCTTTCCAAAAATCGGGACTTTTTAAAAACGCGGCGGGACACAGGAAAAATGGTGAAATATCGGGACTGTCCTGCGAAAAGCGGGGACGTCTGGTCACCTTACTTAAGGACTTACGACTAGAAGGGCCATCTTCATCAACTACATCTTAGATGCCTTCTTCAGTTCTCCCTCACTGACCTTCATGTTATTTGTCTGAGTATTCTAGTAATAGGCACTAGGTGTGTGTGTGTGTGTGTTTAATTGAATAAAGATAACACACTTTGGGAAGATACTAGCATTATCACCTGTCAACCTACATATGGTCCTAAGGTTGATGCTTTCTCACAATCTAGGCATTATCCTTCAGAATCCGTGGTTCAAGTAACTGATGCAGTGCAGCTGTCCCTATTGGATGACACCGTGTCTAAGCAGTAGGGTAGTGATGCTGTTTGACTTGCTGTTGCTACCGGGTACTCTTGAGTCCGTTTTCAACCCCCAGTGACCCCATGTGGCAGAGCAGAACTCTCCGATAAGGTTGCTTCCTGGGCATCATGATGGGAACATATTAGAGCCATGTGAAAAAGCCAACCATTTGAAGAGTGATTGATTGCGTAGCCCCTGCATCACCAGGCCTCCAGTGGGGTAGATCTCACTCACGGCCATCGGGCCCATTCCACTCATAGCAACCCTAGGGACAGGGTAGGACTGCCCTGGGGCTTGTGAGATTGTGAGATTGTGAACCTTGTGGGTGTAGAAAGCCACACTTGCTTTCTCAGAGTGGCTGGCACTTAGCAACCCGATGAGTAATTCGCTATGCCACCAGGTCACCTACACAGGGGCGACCAGTGGGACGAAATGAAATATAACGCAAGAACGCATTTTCAGCCCAGCACTCTAGCTTCCTGTGTGATAGGTGGAAGTAAAGGGAGGTCTGTCTTCATCACTCTACCCCCAGGTCATTTTCCCACCCCCACCCCAACCCCACTTGACATGTGGTGCTGGAGAAGAATATTGAAAGTACCATGGACTGCTGAAAGGACTAGCCAATCTGTCTTGGCAGAGTGCTCCTTAGAGGCAAGGTTGGCAAGACTTCATCTTACATACTTTGGACAGGTTGTCAGGAGAGACCAGTCCCTGTAGAAGGACCTCATGCTTGGTAGAGTGGAGGGGCCGTGGAAAAGTGGAAGGCCCTCAACGAGATGGACGGACACAGAGGCTGCAACGTCGGGCTCGGGCGTAGGAATAATTGCCAGGATGGCGCAGGGCTGGGCGGTGTTTCCTTCTGTTGTGTACAGGGTCGCTGTGTGTCAGGATGGACCAGATGGCACCTAACAAACTCACCCCACTGAAAAGAATCTATTCCCCTTCTCTACGTGAGTTACTTTAGAAACAAGGGCTTTTAATTATTTGCTCTAACCCTATAATGCCTGAATTTTTAATTTCAGGGAAAAGGTTTTTGTTTTTATTCTTTACTTTCATAGTTATCCATATGTATATTAATATACACATTTTAATTAAATGCTATGAAAATGTCGTGCTCGGTATTATAGGGCTAAGAGTCAGTCCAAGGACTGGGAACATGGTCCTTGTTGATTTAAATACCTTGTCTTTAAAATATTTACAAATGCTAAAATAAAATCATTGATTTATTTAGCTAGATTGTACAGATTAGTGTAAAATTATCTCTGAATTGTTTTAGAGTTAGTCTAAACTATGCTTATTTGATGAATCCTAGACATACATAGACTTTGGCTTTTCATTTTTCCAGGTAAAACATTATTTTCCATATTCTATTGAAAAGTATTGAGATACATAGGAAGATATCTGTTCCCCCCCTTTTCAACTCAACCCAACTATAAACTTCCTAAGTAGCTCTGTTTAAGCAAAACATAAGTTAATGAGTCAGTCTCAAGTATTTTGTCTTCTTATAAGTCATGCAGCTTAAACTGGCATCAAAGGTGAGCTGCATATTTCAGAAAAACGCAACACTACCAAGGCCATCATACCTTAATGAACACTCACTACGACCCAGAGGATTTGTATGCATAATACTATTTTTCACCTAAACCTTGACTGTTAGTGTTATCTACATTTTCACAGATGAAAAACTGCAACACAGAGAACTTGAAGTAAATTGCCCAAGAGCAGAAAGCTATGAAGAACCTGAAAGAGAATTAAACCCAGTTTCTCTTTTCAATCTAAAGCCCATTTTCCCAATGGGTCTTATTGCCTCTTAAAACACACACACACACACACACACACACACACACACACACACACACACACACACCGATAATGGTAATTTCATTAAGGTATTTCTATATTGGCATGTCAACCCCTGAAACTTGGGACTGAAATATTTTATGGAATATTTTAATTTCATCACAGGACTTGTTTCTTGTCCCGTTGACATGGGAGAAATAAGTGCCTTCTCAATCAAGCTTCTCAGCATTTACAGAATAACTCACCCACTTGTTAAAAAGTTAATTCTGAAGTAAGTTCAGCAGTGCTCTCCGGCCCGTGCAGACACAGGTAGAGTGGAGGAAATCCTGCACCAGGCTGAGAAGCTGTCTTCCAAAACCAGCTGTAGGTGAATTGACAGTGCTTAGCACTCGATATTTTAGCTTGTAATTGATGTGTGTTTTCAGAAAACAAAAACAAGACTTATGAATTTAGCCTGTAGGTCAGAAATCAAAACTTGGGCTATATGGCATATGGAGTTTAATATTAGAAATAATATATGTAGGGCAACTTTGTGATATGAAGATGATGCAGGCTTGCTTGCTGAAAATCAAGAGGACTTGAAGCACTTGCTGATGCAAATTAAAAACCGCAGCCTTCTGTATGGATTTCGACTCATTGTAAAGAAAACAAAAAAGCCTCACCACTAGACCAGTAGACGCACATCATGATAAACAGAGAAAAGATGGAAGTTGTCCAGGATTTCCTTTGACACAGGTCCACCATCTGCGCTGCTGCGGTCGAGAAATCAGCAACATAGTCCACGGCTCCTATCAGCTACACAAGAACCTTTGTAAGGGTTCAAAAGCAAATACACCACTTTGAGGATTCAGGTATGCCTTAATCCTGGTATTTCAGTCATGGTAGTTTTCAGTCCCCACGTATGTATGGCAAAACTAGGCAATGATTAAGGAAGATGGCAGAATCTGGGACATTTGAATTGTGTTGGCGAAGAGTATTGAAAGTACTATGGACCACCCAGAGAATAAACTAATCTGTCTGGATGAAGTGCAGCCAGAATGCGCCTTAGAAGCAGGAATAGCTGGATTTCTTCTCACCTCCTTTGAACATGCTAGCAGGAGAGACCAATCCCTGGAACAGGACATCGTGATTGCTAAAGTAGTGATCAATGAAAAAGACAAAGTTTCTAAACAAGGGTGGATTGACACAGGAGCTGCAACAGGGGTGAAACATAACAAGTGTGGGGATGGTGCAGGACTGGGTAGTATTTTCATTTTCTGGTCTATTGGGTGGCTAGATTTCGAATGGACCTGATGTTAGATACCATCAGGTGTCTAACAAAAGCAAAAGGAGTGACGATCTGGTGATGCAGTGGCTAAAGCACTCATCTGCTAATCTATAGGTCAACAGATTGACCCCACCTACCTATCCCAGGGAGAAAGAGAAAAGATGTGGCAGTCTGCTTCCAAACAGACAGACAACCTTGGAAACTCTGTGGGACAGTTCTACTCTAGAACAGTGCATGAGTTGGGGGTCAACTTGGACACAATGCATTTGGTCTGGTTGGTAGTATTAGAAGCAGATGTTTTTAATCCCCATTAAATCATAGAATATACAGCTGAAAAAGAATCAATGATCACCAATGGTTTTTGTCTCTAGCTAATGAGATGGATTATCAGTGAACTTTATGCAGTGTGGAAGATATTCAATGGAGGAGCTCTGAACAACTCTTTGAAAAGCAGTTCAGGAGAACCCCCTATTCTCTCCTGGAAGCCTTGGGAGCACATATATTCTCTATGCAAAGCTGTGAAGGGTCACATGCCTTTGTTCAACAGCTATGGAAAGTACATTGTCAAACTTTTCTGGATGGTGAGTAAATCCAAATGTGTTTACATTGAAATATATACAATGTCTTTCATACAAAAATATTTTTATTTTAGATTGTGCTGCCTAGACTAGATGTTTAACTTTTAGATCTTGGAGGATATGTAGTATATCAAGTTTATCGGAACTGGATGAGAAAAGGTCCAGCATATGTAATTAGTGATGAATAACAAATAAGTTGTTTTTCTTGTGATGCTAATCACCTGTGATTTTGAAATTGGTGCCCCTGGACCACTGCAGAGTGATCTGCCTATAGATTGCTGCCACAGCCTCTGCTCTCTCAGAGGACAGGCAATGATCTGGGTGCAAAACCCCCCACAAAATGAAACTCACTGTCATCGAGTCTAGTCTGACTCATAGCATTATCGAGCCCTGCCTCACCCTTTTCTCTATGGTGTGGCTGCTGGAGGGTCGTTGGCACCTGGTACTTCTCTCCTGTTATCTGCTGCTAAGAACCTTATTCCAACACTTAGTAGTCCTGAATTTAAGCCTCACTTTCATGTTAACAAACCTTACTCTGACGCAGCATGTTTTCACTGCTGTCTAGATTAGGAAGCAAATGGGGTCATAAGAACTAAATACAAATAAAAGCCCACGCCCACTCTCCTCCAGTTGATCTCAATTCAGAGCCACCCTATAGGATTGGGGAGGCCTGCCCCACAGTATTTCTTAGGCTCTTAGTCTTTACAAAAGCCACCTTTTCCTTTGGAGCCGCAGGCGGACTGGAACTGCCAGCTTTTTGCTTAGTAGCAGAGTGCTTTTACCACTTCACCACAAGTGCTACTTCTGAAATACACGTAGAGAATGAAAAATCCCATAGTTAGTATGACAAAGCAGAGTTGCATTGCCTTTAGCAAGGTGAGCGGCTTGCATAGTAAACATCTTTGGTATTTTTAGTGGTGAAATGACCTCATTTGATGTCCAGACTCATCAGCAGGACAGCTGGAGAGTCCCAGGGGCCCAGGAAAAAATAGAAACATGGCACCCCTGATTCAGAAACTAAGAATCCTAAAAAGGCAGCAGGTGAGCGTGAAAACAAGTATGGGCCCTTCTTAGTGCCAGGCCCCACATGCCTGCTCAGGTCTGCCATGGCCCCTGGGGAAAGGATATGCCACCTGAACATTTGAGTGAGTGAGACAAGTATGCAAAGTTAAAAATTCCAGAAATAGATATTTGAGGACCTGGCCTTTGTAGTAATGGGCCTGAGTCATCCATTTCCCTGGAATGTGGTCCTTGGGAATTTGGCAAGGACAATGACTAGGGATTGTTAGGATCATGGCAGTGGGAATGTAAAGGCAAAGAAGTTAATTTATGTCTTTGATATCCAAAATAAGATTCTCAAGATGATAGACCTCAAAAGTCACAATTAATTAGAAGTAATTTATGTCTTTGATATCCAAAATAAGATTCTCAAGATGATAGACCTCAAAAGTCACAATTAATTAGAAGAGAGCATAATTCCCCCACTTCCTTTATTGTCCCGTTTTATCATTCAGGAGGCCACCTTGGCAGACTTCAGTTTAGAGTTTTGAGTGTCCTGAGTTATGGTCATACAGTGACGAACCCAGTGGACAGGCCTGAGAGGTTTAGAAAAGGAGATAAATTCAGGGGTAAGGAGGGTTCTCGTGGCTCCCAATTAACATTCATCTACACTTGAGGTCAGAGGGACTTCAAAAATTAAGTATTTAAAAAGGACCAGGGCAGAACATCAAACCAATCTCATGGCTCTCCCCTTGCTCCCTCTATCTCCAAATTTCCTCTGCATAAAGGTCAACAATAACCAACATCACTACCTTGTGATGTGATATGCGTAGGACTTACGTTGGTGGACAACTTGTTGGCACTTGTTGCTAAAATACATGGTCATGTTCTTGCCACTGAGAATAGCAGAAAGCATTTCTGGTCCACAAGCAGTATATGTAGATCCACTTACTGGCCCACATGGGCCCTTCTGGGTCTGTGCCTGTATACAGATTTGCAGGAACCATATCCATCAGGATTCCGGACACATCGTAGGAGTGGAACAAGTGCAGGTGAAGAGGTAAATTGCCAAAATATGTGAAAGAGCCAAGCAAAGATTCTGGCACATGGTAGCTTCTCAGCAATATTGTTTCTTTCCTCCTCTTGCTCGTTTCTGTCTTCCATCCTTCTCTTCCAATACGAGTTCTTACCCTAGAAGCCAAAGGGATAGCTCCCTCTTCTTGCCCCGTGCTACAGGTAGGAGACGGAAGACCATCTGCTGCCCAGGGACTCACTTGAATGAAGATGCAGAGATGACATTGATAACAGTGACAGCCAGTAATGCCCAATCAGATGGTTTCTATAACATGGCTTCTGCCCAAGGTCATATTAATCAGTGCCCAAACTCACTTAGTTCTTGCACAAATTTGATACCTGCTCATCTAGTCTCATATCATGCTTCCATAATTCTTGAATTTCTTGACTTTGCTTAGTTATAAAACAGGTTGTTTATGTTTTTGGTAAGGAATTAGATGCATTGTTCATTTATTACAGGTAAGATATGTATGTACAAAAAAGTGTTACATAAGTTTAATTTTATTTTGTACTTGTATACTGAGAGTTATAATTTTGTGTAATTGATTATTATTTTTCTTTATAGTCTAAGACACTTGTATCTATCACTACTGAAATATTTAAAAAATATTTTTCTCTGTTTTAGCTTAGTATTTGGTAGGCTTATTGTTAGTGCTATTATTTTATGTTATAATCTTAATTTGTTTAATCTGCTCTGAGTTCCAGAACGTATGTTTACTTTGGCTATATGTGGCATAGTTTAAGGAAGTGAGTACCTGCGAAGTTCTTTCTGTTTCCTCTTTGATTGCTTGTGAATGATAACTTGGTTACAGATAAACGGACGCGGGTGATAAGCAGTAGCAGTGCCGGGTTATCTTCAGGTTTTCGTGTGAGAGACGGATCCCAGGCCTTTCCTTTCTCCCTGTGTGAAGCTGTGATCTCCATAACCCAGCACACTGCTCCTCTACCCCTTCGTCGTCGTCGTCGTCGTCTTTTTTAAATGTTTTATGGAGTGCTCTTACAGCTCTTGTTACAATGCACCCATCACTTCTATCAAGCACATTTGTACATATATCATTATTTTCTAGATACTGTATTTACTTTCTATTGAGCCCTTGGTATCAGCTCCTCTTCACCTTCTCCC